TTAACATCCCCGTTGCGTCGTTAATAACCTCGTTATCATCGTCGTTGCGTCGTTAAGGAGCTGCTAACGCACTCAACTAGATATTTTCACGCGAGTTGCGTTAGTGGAGTCGGTAAATTCCTTAGGTCTTGCACGAAGGAATTTTTTTTTGCAAGTTTTTTGTTTAACATCTAAGATTGCAAGGAAGTTTTTTAGGGGCTATTTCATGAGGTTGTGAGATAGCAAGTACATGGGGGGGGGGAGTAGGAGGGTGGTTGGTTATGTGGTTGTGGTAGTGAGGGTGGTAGGTGGGTGGGTGATTATGTGGTGGTGGTAGGGAGGGGGGTAGAGGGTGGTTGGTTATGTGGTGGTGGTAGTGATGGTGGTAGGAGGGTGGTTGGTTATGTGGTGGTGGTAGGTGGGGGGTAGGTGGGTGGTTGGTTATGTGGTGGTGGTAGGGAGGGTGGTAGGTGGGTGGTTGGTTATGTGGTGGTGGTAGGTGGGGGGTAAGTGTATATGTATGTCCATTCAAGGGTCTATAAGGACTCTTTTTATCTATAATTCTCTCTATAATAATAAAGGTCTATAATTCTTTCGTACAGTTATACTCGATTTCGTGTTTTACATTAAGAATACTGTCCTATAAACGTTTTATAAGCTATAGTCGAGAAATATAAAATGATAATGCAATCAATTGTCAAATATTTTATTTCATAAATAACATTTTAACAACTTTAACAAGAAAAACATTTCTTGCAAACAAACTTTCCCTAAAAGTCCAAGACTCAAGCATCAGTCCAAACATTTCAAATCATTTAGGTAATCTTATAGACTCAATAGACAAAATAGACTCAAAACTGGACGTAATGGACTCAACACCGGACGTAATGGACTCAAACCAACGAAAGATTCTCACGTAGTCTTAAGCTTGAGAACAATGTACACTTAGTACCACATGTGTGAAAACAAAGGGGGTCTTAGGAACCACACAAGGTGTCGAGTTGCTCCATTAACGTCACTCTGCCACTTTGCATATTTCACGCATTAACTCCAACTAATTGGTACAATATTTGTTTAGTTTTGAAAAGACATTTCAAGAATGATGACACTATGTAAAGAAACCGAACAGTGGTTTGAGGTGGCACACTCAGCAGTGGCCAGTGTTCGTAAAACACGTTCAACAGTGCCACAGTTCGTGAGAGCGTTGAACAGTGCCACAGTTCATGAGAGCGTTGAACAGTGTCATTATTTATGATGAGCGTTGAACAGTGTCATGATTTATGAGAGCGTTGAACAGTGCCATGATTTATGAGAGACTTGAACAGTGCCATTATTTATGGAGAGCGTTGAACAGTCCCATGATTCATGAAAGCATTGAACAGTGCCATAGTTCATAGAAGCATTGAACAGTGCCATAGTTCATAGAAGCATTAAACAGTGCCATAGTTCATAGAAGCATTGAACAATGCCTTGGTTCATAGAAGCATTGAACAGTGCCATAGTTAATAGAAGCATTGAACAGTGCCATAGTTCATAGAAGCATTGAACAGTGCCATAGTTCATAGACCATAGTTCATAGAAGCATTGAACAGTGCCATGTTTCATAAAATCATTGAACAGTGCCATGGTTCATAGAATCATTGAACAGTGCCATGGTTCATAGAAGCACTGAACAGTGCCATGTTTCATAGAATCATTGAACAGTGCCATGTTTCATAGAATCATTGAACAGTGCCATAGTTCATAGAAGCACTGAACAGTGCCATAGTTCATAGAAGCATTGAACAGTGCCATGGTTCATAGAATCATTGAACAGTGCCATGGTTCATAGAATCATTGAACAGTGCCATGGTTCATAGAAGCACTGAACAGTGCCATGTTTCATAGAAGCATTGAACAGTGCCATGTTTCATAGAATCATTGAACAGTGCCATGGTTCATAGAAGCACTGAACAGTGCCATGTTTCATAGAATCATTGAACAGTGCCATGTTTCATAGAATCATTGAACAGTGCCATAGTTCATAGAAGCATTGAACAGTGCCATGGTTCATAGAAGCATTGAACAGTGCCATGGTTCATAGAAGCATTGAACAGTGCCATGGTTCATAGAAGCATTGAACAGTGCCATGTTTCATAGAAGCATTGAACAGTGCCATAGTTCATAGAAGCACTGAACAGTGCCATAGTTCATAGAAGCATTGAACAGTGCCATGGTTCATAGAAGCACTGAACAGTGCCATGGTTCATAGAAGCACTGAACAGTGCCATAGTTCATAGAAGCATTGAACAGTGCCATGGTTCATAGAAGCATTGAACAGTGCCATGGTTCATAGAAGCATTGAACAGTGCCATGGTTCATAGAAGCATTGAACAGTGCCATGGTTCATAGAAGCATTGAACAGTGCCATGGTTCATAGAAGCATTGAACAGTGCCATGGTTCATAGAAGCATTGAACAGTGCCATGGTTCATAGAAGCATTGAACACTGCCATAGTTCATAGAAGCATTGAACAGTGCCATAGTTCATAGAATCATTGAACAGTGCCATAGTTCATAGAAGCATTGAACAGTGCCATAGTTCATAGACCATAGTTCATAGAAGCATTGAACAGTGCCATGGTTCATAGAAGCATTGAACAGTGCCATGGTTCATAGAAGCATTGAACAGTGCCATGGTTCATAGAAGCATTGAACAGTGCCATGTTTCATAGAAGCATTGAACAGTGCCATAGTTCATAGAAGCACTGAACAGTGCCATAGTTCATAGAAGCATTGAACAGTGCCATGGTTCATAGAAGCACTGAACAGTGCCATGGTTCATAGAAGCACTGAACAGTGCCATAGTTCATAGAAGCATTGAACAGTGCCATGGTTCATAGAAGCATTGAACAGTGCCATGGTTCATAGAAGCATTGAACAGTGCCATGGTTCATAGAAGCATTGAACAGTGCCATGGTTCATAGAAGCATTGAACAGTGCCATGGTTCATAGAAGCATTGAACAGTGCCATGGTTCATAGAAGCATTGAACAGTGCCATGGTTCATAGAAGCATTGAACAGTGCCATGGTTCATAGAAGCACTGAACAGTGCCATGGTTCATAGAAGCACTGAACAGTGCCATGGTTCATAGAAGCATTGAACAGTGCCATGGTTCATAGAAGCATTGAACAGTGCCATGGTTCATAGAAGCACTGAACAGTGCCATAGTTCATAGAAGCATTGAACAGTGCCATGGTTCATAGAAGCACTGAACAGTGCCATGGTTCATAGAAGCATTGAACAGTGCCATGGTTCATAGAAGCATTGAACAATGCCTTGGTTAATAGAAGCACTGAACAGTGCCATAGTTCATGAACATCTAACAAAATCTTGGAAACTATTTAACCTAAATGAACTTAATAAACTTAATGAACCTTAATGAACCATTAAACTTAATCATTTAAAACAAATTGCTTGCTTATAATTACCAAGGTTTAGTCCAGTGAAAATTAAAACAAGACACATGTTTTAAGCTCCTGTTTGCTGCTTGCTGAGAGTACAGGGTACCTGAGAGAGAGAGAGAGAGAGAGAGAGAGAGAGAGAGAGAGAGAGAGAGAGAGAGAGAGAGAGAGAGAGAGAGAGAGAGAGAGAGAGAGAGAGAGAGAGAGAGAGAGAGAGAGAGAGAGAGAGAGAGAGAGAGAGAGAGAGAGAGAGAGAGAGAGAGAGAGAGAGAGAGAGAGAGAGAGAGAGAGAGAGAGAGAGAGAGAGAGAGAGAGAGAGAGAGAGAGAGAGAGAGAGAGAGAGAGAGAGAGTGTGCCAAGCGAATATTGCCAGGTCTTTCCAAGGTACAAAAGGTGGAGAACACAGAAGCTTTTTTTGCAAACGCTTGAGGAGCAAGTCGGGATTTTGTTGACTCATCAAACACACAAAATCGATACTGAAGGCGCTCTAAAGACGGGAGAAATTGTGGGGCCTGCTTTGAGGGCCTCGACGCTGGGGAAGATTTTAAGCCCTGAGAGTGTGTGTGTGTGTGGGGGGGGGAAGTTTGCCTAAGTGTGTGCTTGGATGGGAAATTCTTCGTTCCCATCGCTGGAACCTGAGAAACAATGACAAGAGAGAGAGAGGAATAATTAAAACACAGTTGTTAGGAAATATTAGTTACAGAGTGAGAAATAATTAGGTTTACCGAAGGAATGGCCATGTCGTAGGAATGGACAGAGATGATTTAGCCGAAAGTATCAAATATAAATGAGTCGACCAGGACTGAAGCGATACTGAAGTGGACGTTATCAGAGGATAAAATCGACCTGCTCCAAGCGACCACGTCCCAGCAATCTGGCCTCAGGGACCTGATCTCAAGGACCTAATTACACCAATTAGAATTAAGTCGTTGTCATGTCACTAGATATTACATCTTCCTATTTAACATGACCGCTTCGCTGCCAGCTTGTCGACAAGCTGTATGCCCTCTAATAAGCTTTGAGCTTACTCATAATCTACCAGCTTACAGCTTCCTGACAAGCCGCCAGCCTGCTAGCAGGGGGAGGAGATCCACCTTCATCACAACATGACTCCTACATCAGCTATGTGTGAACCTTGTGATATAAGATAGAGTTAGTGGATTGTCTGACATATATTTCAACTCACATCATGTCTATAGGACACATGTCCTCTCACATCATGTCTATAGGACACATGTCCTCTCACATCATGTCAATAGGACACATGTCAACTCACATCATGTCTATAGGACACATGTCCTCTCACATCATGCCTATAGGACACATGTCCTCTCACATCATGTCAATAGGACACATGTCCTCTCACATCATGTCAATAAGACACATGTCCTCTCACAATATGTCTATAGGACACATGTCAACTCACATCATGTCAATACATCATGTCAATAGGACACATGTCCTCTCACATCATGTCTATAGGACACATGTCAACTCACATCATGTCAATAGGACACATGTCCTCTCACATCATGTCAATAGGACACATGTCAACTCACATCATGTCAAATAGGACACATGTCCTCTCACATCATGTCAATAGGACACATGTCCTCTCACATCATGTCAATAGGACACATGTCCTCTCACATCATGTCAATAAGACACATGTCCTCTCACAATATGTCTATAGGACACATGTCAACTCACATCATGTCAATAGGACACATGTCCTCTCACATCATGTCAATAGGACACATGTCCTCTCACATCATGTCAACTCACATCATGTCAATAGGACACATGTCCTCTCACAATATGTCTATAGGACACATGCCAACTCACATCATGTCTATAGGACACATGTCCTCTCACATCATGTCAATAGGACACATGTCAACTCACATCATGTCTATAGGACACATGTCCTCTCACATCATGTCAATAGGACACATGTCCTCTCACATCATGTCTATAGGACACATGTCAACCCACATCATGTCAATAGGACACATGCCCTCTCCCATCATGTCAATAGGACACATGTCAACCCACATCATGTCAATAGGACACATGTCAACTCACATCATGTCAATAGGACACATGTCCTCTCACATCATGTCAATAGGACACATGTCCTCTCACATCATGTCAATAGGACACATGTCCTCTCACATCATGTCAATAGGACACATGTCCTCTCACATCATGTCAATAGGACACATGTCCTCTCACATCATGTCAATAGGACACATGTCAACTCACATCATGTCAATAGGACACATGTCCTCTCACATCATGTCAATAGGACACATGTCCTCTCACATCATGTCAATAGGACACATGTCCTCTCACATCATGTCTATAGGACACATGTCCTCTCACATCATGTCTATAGGACACATGTCCTCTCACATTATGTCTATAGGACACATGTCAACTCACATCATGTCAATAGGACACATGTCCTCTCACATCATGTCAATAGGACACATGTCAACTCACATCATGTCAATAGGACACATGTCAACCCACATCATGTCAATAGGACACATGTCCTCTCACATCATGTCAATAGGACACATGTCCTCTCACATCATGTCAATAGGACACATGTCCTCTCACATCATGTCAATAGGACACATGTCCTCTCACATCATGTCTATAGGACACATGTCCTCTCACATCATGTCAATAGGACACATGTCCTCTCACATCATGTCTATAGGACACATGTCCTCTCACATCATGTCAATAGGACACATGTCCTCTCACATCATGCCAATAGGACACATGTCCTCTCACATCATGTCAATAGGACACATGTCCTCTCACATCATGCCAATAGGACACATGTCCTCTCACATCATGTCAATAGGACACATGTCATCTCACATCATGTCAATAGGACACATGTCCTCTCACATCATGTCTATAGGACACATGTCCTCTCACATCATGTCAATAGGACACATGTCCTCTCACATCATGTCTATAGGACACATGTCCTCTCACATCATGTCAACAGTACCGCTGGAGCCCCTTGTATGATACAGTTAACGTAACACCAAGAAATCTTTGGGCCAGACAATTACCCTAACAAAAGTACTTGTAGAGTTTCTTTATAAAATGAGACTATTAAGTAAATGATACAATATGACTTTTGCACCATTATATTTAATTTAAAGTATAAAGATGAATTTATGCCTCATTTTTTAAAATAGGAAATAATTTAAATAGAAAAAAAATCAGCAACGAAATAAAAACAGGGAATTTGATCCCCCATTACATTAATGGGAGAGTTAACAAGTGCAACAAAATCAGAGATAAAAACTCACTTGATTTCATTGTATTGATGAGATATTTAGCAAACTTTTTGGGATTAAGCCCAAATAAAATTTAACATTTATTTTAATTTCAAATTTCTGGAGATGGAAATGATCTTTCTCGATCAAACTACTCGTGGTAGTTCCTAGTGAAACCATACATGATGTTAGATGCCACTTTTCACCCTGATGCTGCTGTTCACCTATCGGTACATAGGTACCTGGGAGTTAGACAGCTGTAACGGGCTGCTTCTTCCTGGGGGTGTGTAACAAAAAGAAGGCCTGGTCGAGGACCGGGCTGCGGGGACGCTAAGCCCCGAAATCCTCTCAAGATAACCTCAAGATAACATAAGAACATAAGAACATAAGAACAAAGGTAACTGCAGAAGGCCTATTGGCCCATACGAGGCAGCTCCTATTCTATAACCACCCATCCCACTCATATACTTGTCCAACCCGTGCTTGAAACTATCGAGGGACCCCACCTCCACAATGTTACGCGGCAATTGGTTCCACAAATCAACAACCCTGTTACTGAACCAGTATTTACCCAAGTCTTTCCTAAATCTAAACTTATCCAATTTATATCCATTGTTTCGTGTTCTGTCCTGTGTTGATACTTTTAATACCCTATTAATATCCCCCCGGTTATGTCCATTCATCCACTTGTAAACCTCTATCATGTCACCCCTAACTCTTCGCCTTTCCAGTGAATGCAACTTAAGCTTTGTTAATCTTTCTTCATATGAAAGATTTCTAATTTGGGGAATTAACTTAGTCATCCTACGCTGGACACGTTCAAGTGAATTTATATCCATTCTATAATATGGCGACCAAAACTGAACTGCATAATCTAAATGGGGCCTAACTAGAGCAAGATATAGCTTGAGAACCACACCAGGTGTCTTGTTACTAACGCTGCGATTAATAAATCCAAGTGTCCGATTTGCCTTATTACGAACATTTATGCATTGATCCTTTTGTTTTAAATTCTTACTAATCATAACTCCCAGATCCCTTTCGCAATCCGACTTCGCAATCACAACACCATCTAGCTCGTATCTTGTAACTCTATCATCATTACCTAACCTCAGAACTTACATTTATCAGCATTAAACTGCATCTGCCAATCCTTTGACCATTTCAAAACCCTATCTAGATCAACTTGAAGTGATAGTGAGTCCTCCTCCGAATTAATTTCCCTACCGATTTTCGTATCATCGGCAAATTTGCAAATGTTGCTACTCAAACCTGAATCTAAATCATTTATATATATTATAAACAACAGAGGTCCCAGGACAGAGCCTTGAGGCACTCCACTTACAACATTTTCCCACTCTGACTTGATTCCATTTATACTAACTCTCTGTTTCCTTTGGTATAGCCATGCCCTAATCCAGCTTAATATAGCACCCCCAATACCATGAGACTCTATTTTTTTAATCAGTCTTTCATGTGGCACTGTATCAAAAGCTTTGCTAAAGTCAAGGTATACAACATCGCAATCCTTACCACTATCAACTGCCTCAACAATGCTAGAATAAAAAGATAACAAATTTGTTAAACATGAACGGCCATTTATAAAACCATGTTGCGACTCAATTATTAATTTATGTTTTTCAAGATGAAGACGAATTTTATTTGCTATTATAGATTCGAGTAACTTTCCCACAATAGACGTTAGGCTAATTGGTCGATAGTTAGACGCAAGTGATCTATCTCCTTTCTTAAAAACTGGTATCACATTAGCAACTTTCCAAAACTCTGGCACTCTGCCTGACTCTATTGATTTATTAAATATGGTTGACAGTGGGTCACAAAGCTCCTCTTTGCATTCTTTAAGCACCCTAGCAAACACTTCATCCGGCCCTGGGGATTTGTTTGGTTTGAGTTTTACTATTTGTTTAAGAACATCCTCCCTGGTAACTGCTAAACTCGTCAACCTGTCCTCGTCCCCACCCACATAGACTTGTTCGGCTGAAGGCATATTGTTAAGTTCCTCTTTAGTAAATACAGATACAAAATATTTATTAAAAATACTACTCATCTCTTCATCACTATCTGTTATTTGACCTGTCTCAGTTTTTAATGGACCTATCCTTTCCCTAGTCTTAGTACGATATAACTGAAAAAACCCTTTAGGATTTGTCTTTGCTTGCCCTGCTATGCGAACTTCATAGTTTCTTTTTGCTTTCCTTATCTCTTTTTTAACATTTCTAACCAGTTGTACGAATTCCTGTTCTAAAGTGACCTCCCCATTTTTAATCCTTTTGTACCAATAACCTCAAGATAACCTCAAGATAACCTCTAATTTGGAACCATAAGTCTTATAGCATCCTCTTGCCTCTACTCCTGCAAGGCTCAAATTCCTGCAGATTTTATTGTGGAAGATTCTATGGAATATTATCTTATTAATGTATATAATGTTTATACAGTATCATCAGTAGAAAAAAACTATTTTTTGCTGATAAAACATTATATAAATCGGTCAAGAAAAGTATATATACTTTCTTTAATTGGTGAAATGATGAGCTTCTCCACTGCTGTAATGGGCTAAATTTTCTTACACTGAAATAGGGACGTTTCTCTGAAGTGGAAATGAGTGGGCTTCTCCTATATAGAAATAGTATACTTTCTTCTATGTTGAAATTGGTAAACTTCACCTCACTGAAATGGGTAAACTTCACCTCACTGAAATGGGTAAACTTCACCTTACTGAAATGGGTAAGATCCACCTCGCTGAAATGGGTAAGCTTCACTTTACTGAAATGGGTAAGTTTCACCTCACTGAAATTGGGCAAGATTCAAACGTTGAAATAAAGTTCTCCAACGTTGAAATAGGCGAGTTTCTGCTGTATTCAATGCTGTATTTCTGCTGTATTCAATGCTGTATTTCTGCTGTATTCAATGCTTCTCCCACATTAAAATTGACAAACTTTCACTATGCTGAAATGGGCAAGTTTCGGCAACATTCAAATGGGTAACATTTTCCATCGCAGAAATAGGTAAACTTATTGTATGCTGAAATTTGACATTATCTTCGATACTGAAATAAGCAAACATCTTCACCGGCTCTTATCAAGGAGACTGTAACTAGCCGATGACTGTACTAAAGCAACGGTACAGAGTGCCTAGATCAGCGGTACAGTTCCCAAGAGTGCCCATAGCAACGGTACAGAGTGCCTAGATCAGCGGTACAGTTCCCAAGAGTGCCCATAGCAACGGTACAGAGTGCCTAGATCAGCGGTACAGTTCCCAAGAGTGCCCATAGCAACGGTACAGAGTGCCTAGATCAGCGGTACAGTTCCCAAGAGTGCCCATAGCAACGGTACAGAGTACCCAGAGCAACGGTACAGCTCCCAAGAGAGCCCAAAGCAACGGTACAGTTCCCAGAGTACCCAGATCAACGGTACAGCTCCCAAGAGTACCCAGAGCAACGGTACAGCTCCCAAGAGTACCCAGAGCAACGGTACAGCTCCCAAGAGTACCCAGAGCAACGGTACAGCTCCCAGAGTGCCCAGAGCAACGGTACAGCTCCCAAGAGTACCCAGAGCAACGGTACAGCTCCCAAGAGTGCCCAGAGCAACGGTACAGCTCCCAAGAGTACCCAGAGCAACGGTACAGCTCCCAAGAGTACCCAGAGCAACGGTACAGCTCCCAAGAGTACCCAGAGCAACGGTACAGCTCCCAAGAGTACCCAGAGCAACAGTACAGCTCCCAAGAGTACCCAGAGCAACGGTACAGCTCCCAAGAGTACCCAGAGCAACGGTACAGCTCCCAAGAGTACCCAGAGCAACGGTACAGCTCCCAAGAGTACCCAGAGCAACGGTACAGCTCCCAAGAGTGCCCAGAGCAACGGTACAGCTCCCAAGAGTACCCAGAGCAACGGTACAGCTCCCAAGAGTACCCAGAGCAACGGTACAGCTCCCAAGAGTACCCAGAGCAACGGTACAGCTCCCAGAGTGCCCAGAGCAACGGTACAGCTCCCAAGAGTGCCCAGACCAACGGTACAGCTCCCAAGAGTACCCAGAGCAACGGTACAGCTCCCAAGAGTACCCAAAGCAACGGTAAAGCTCCAAGAGCACCCAAAGCAACGGTATAGCTCCCAAGAGCACCCAGAGCAACGGTACAGCCCCAAGAGTACCCAGAGCAACGGTATAGCTCCAAGAGTACCCAGAGCAACGGTATAGCTCCCAAGAGTACCCAGAGCAACGGTATAGCTCCCAAGAGTGCCCAGACCAACGGTATAGCTCCAAGAGCACCCAGACCAACGGTACAGCTCCCAAGAGTACCCAGAGCCACGGTATAGCTCCAAGAGCACCCAGACCAACGGTACAGCTCCCAAGAGTGCCCAGACCAACGGTACAGCTCCCAAGAGTACCCAGAGCAACGGTATAGCTCCAAGAGCACCCAAAGCAACGGTACAGCTCCCAAGAGTACCCAGAGCAACGGTACAGCTCCCAGAGTACCCAGAGCCACGGTATAGCTCCAAGAGCACCCAGACCAACGGTACAGCTCCCAAGAGTACCCAGAGCAACGGTACAGCTCCCAAGAGTGCCCAGAGCCACGGTACAGCTCCCAAGAGTGCCCAGAGCCACGGTACAGCTCCCAAGAGTGCCCAGAGCAACGGTACAGCTCCCAAGAGTACCCAGAGCAACGGTACAGCTCCCAAGAGTGCCCAGACCAACGGTACAGCTCCCAAGAGTACCCAGAGCAACGGTACAGCTCCCAAGAGTGCCCAGACCAACGGTACAGCTCCCAAGAGTGCCCAGAGCAACGGTACAGCTCCCAAGAGTGCCCAGACCAACGGTACAGCTCCCAAGAGTGCCCATAGCAACGGTACAGCTCCCAAGAGTGCCCAGACCAACGGTACAGCTCCCAAGAGTGCCCATAGCAACGGTACAGCTCCCAAGAGTGCCCAGACCAACGGTACAGCTCCCAAGAGTGCCCATAGCAACGGTACAGCTCCCAAGAGTGCCCATAGCAACGGTACAGCTCCCAAGAGTGCCCAGACCAACGGTACAGCTCCCAAGAGTGCCCAGACCAACGGTACAGCTCCCAAGAGTGCCCATAGCAACGGTACAGCTCCCAAGAGTGCCCATAGCAACGGTACAGCTCCAGGCAGCTGTCTCACACCTTAAAGTGGCTCCGGCATTTCCATAATATAAGCCGTGGAGGGCCCGTGAGACCAGAGGGATAGAGGATTGAGCATTAATTAATTGGCAATCTCGGGTTCACAGGTGTGTAAGAGGAGTTTCCAGCGGCGCTGAGTGGTGTTGAGTGGTGTTGAGTGGTGTTGAGTGGTGTTGCACGATGTTGAGTGGTGTTGAGTGGTGTTAAGTGGTGTTGTACGATGTTGAGTGGTGTTAAGTGGTGTTGTACGATGTTGAGTGGTGTTGTGTGGTGTTAAGTGGTGTTGCACGATGTTGAGTGGTGTTGAGTGGTGTTGAGTGGTGTTGAGTGGTGTTGCGTGGTGTTGAGTGGTGTTGAGTGGTGTTGAGTGGTGTTGAGTGGTGTTGAGTGGTGTTGCATGGTGTTGAGTGGTGTTGTGGTTTTGCAGTGGTGTTGCATGGTGTTGAGTGGTGTTGCATGGTGTTGAGTGGTGTTGCATGGTGTTGAGTGGTGTTGCACGGTGTTGAGTGGTGTTGCACGGTGTTGAGTGGTGTTGCATGGTGTTGAGTGGTGTTGCAGTGGTGTTGAGTGGTGTTGCACGGTGTTGAGTGGTGTTGAGTGGTGTTGAGTGGTGTTGTTGAGTGGTGTTGAGTGGTGTTGAGTGGTGTGTTGAGTGGTGTTGCATGGTGTTGAGTGGTGTTGCACGATGTTGAGTGGTGTTGAGTGGTGTTGTGTTTGCACGGTGTTGAGTGATGTTGAGTGGTGTTGAGTGGTGTTGCACGGTGTTGAGTGGTGTTGAGTGGTGTTGAGTGGTGTTGCATGGTGTTGAGTGGTGTTGCATGTGTTGTGTGTTGAGTGGTGTTGCATGGTGTTGAGTGGTGTTGCACGGTGTTGAGGGTGTTGAGTGGTGTTGCATGGTGTTGAGTGGTGTTGCATGGTGTTGAGTGGTGTTGCATGGTGTTGAGTGGTGTTGCAGTGGTGTTGAGTGGTGTTGCACGGTGTTGAGTGGTGTTGAGTGGTGTTGCATGGTGTTGAGTGGTGTTGCATGGTGTTGAGTGGTGTTGCATGGTTGAGTGGGTGTTGCATGGTGTTGAGTGGTGTTGCATGGTGTTGAGTGGTGTTGCATGGTGGTGTTGAGTGGTGTTGCATGGTGTTGAGTGGTGTTGCATGGTGTTGAGTGGTGTTGCGTGGTGTTGAGTGGTGTTGAGTGGTGTTGCATGGTGTTGAGTGGTGTTGAGTGGTGTTGCATGGTGTTGAGTGGTGTTGAGTGGTGTTGAGTGGTGTTGAGTGGTGTTGAGTGGTGTTGAGGGGTGTTGAGTGGTGTTGCATGGTGTTGAGTGGTGTTGAGTGGTGTTGAGTGGTGTTGAGTGGTGTTGAGTGGTGTTGAGTGGTGTTGCATGGTGTTGAGTGGTGTTGCATGGTGTTGCACCATGGTGTTGAGTGGTGTTGCATGGTGTTGAGTGGTGTTGGTGTTGAGTGGGTGTTGAGTGGTGTTGCATGGTGTTGAGTGGTGTTGCATGGTGTTGAGTGGTGTTGCATGGTGTTGAGTGGTGTTGCACGGTGTTGAGTGGTGTTGAGTGGTGTTGGTGTTGTGGTGTTGAGTGGTGTTCCATGGTGTTGAGTGGTGTTGCATGGTGTTGAGTGGTGTTGCATGGTGTTGAGTGGTGTTGAGTGGTGTTGCATGGTGTTGAGTGGTGTTGAGTGGTGTTGCATGGTGTTGAGTGGTGTTGAGTGGTGTTGAGTGGTGTTGCATGGTGTTGAGTGGTGTTGCATGGTGTTGAGTGGTGTTGCATGGTGTTGAGTGGTGTTGCATGGTGTTGAGTGGTGTTGAGTGGTGTTGCATGGTGTTGAGTGGTGTTGAGTGGTGTTGAGTGGTGTTGCATGGTGTTGAGTGGTGTTGAGTGGTGTTGAGTGGTGTTGAGTGGTGTTGAGTGGTGTTGAGTGGTGTTGCATGGTGTTGAGTGGTGTTGCATGGTGTTGAGTGGTGTTGCAGGTGTTGAGTGTTGCATGGTGTTGAGTGGTGTTGAGTGGTGTTGGTGTGGTGTTGCATGGTGTTGAGTGGTGTTGCACGGTGTGAGTGGTGTTGAGTGGTGTTGCACGGTGTTGAGTGGTGTTGCACGGTGTTGAGTGGTGTTGAGTGGTGTTGCATGGTGTTGAGTGGTGTTGCATGGTGTTGAGTGGTGTTGCATGGTGTTGAGTGGTGTTGCATGGTGTTGAGTGGTGTTGCACGGTGTTGAGTGGTGTTGCACGGTGTTGAGTGGTGTTGAGTGGTGTTGCATGGTGTTGAGTGGTGTTGCATGGTGTTGAGTGGTGTTGCACGGTGTTGAGTGGTGTTGCATGGTGTTGAGTGGTGTTGCATGGTGTTGAGTGGTGTTGCATGGTGTTGCATGGTGTTGAGTTGAATGGTGTTGAGTGGTGTTGCATGGTGTTGAGTGGTGTTGCACGGTGTTGAGTGGTGTTGCATGGTGTTGAGTGGTGTTGCATGGTGTTGAGTGGTGTTGCATGGTGTTGCATGGTGTTGCACAGTGTTGCATGGTGTTGAGTGTTGCATGTGTTGCATGGTGTTGAGTGGTGTTGCATGGTGTTGAGTGGTGTTGCATGGTGTTGAGTGGTGTTGAGTGGTGTTGCATGGTGTTGCATGGTGTTGAGTGGTGTTGCATGGTGTTGAGTGGTGTTCCATGGTGTTGAGTGGTGTTGCATGGTGTTGAGTGGTGTTGAGTGGTGTTCCATGGTGTTGAGTGGTGTTGCCATGGTGTTGCATGGTGTTGAGTGGTGTTCCATGGTGTTGAGTGGTGTTGAGTGGTGTTCCATGGTGTTGAGTGGTGTTGCATGGTGTTGAGTGGTGTTCCATGGTGTTGAGTGGTGTTGAGGGGTGTTCCATGGTGTTGAGTGGTGTTGCATGGTGTTGAGTGGTGTTGAGTGGTGTTGAGTGGTGTTGCATGGTGTTGAGGGGTGTTGCATGGTGTTGAGTGGTGTTGCACGGTGGTGTTGGTGTTGCATGGTGTTGCATGGTGTTGAGTGGTGTTGCATGGTGTTGAGTGGTGTTGCATGGTGTTGAGTGGTGTTGCATGGTGTTGAGTGGTGTTGAGTGGTGTTGAGTGGTGGTGTTGCATGGTGTGTTGTTGCATGGTGTTGAGTGCATGTGTTGCACGGTGTTGAGTGGTGTTGCATGGTGTTGAGTGGTGTTGCAGTGGTGTTGCATGGTGTTGAGTGGTGTTGCATGGTGTTGAGTGGTGTTGCACATGGTGTTGAGTGGTGTTGCATGGTGTTGAGTGGTGTTGAGTGGTGTTGCATGGTGTTGAGTGTGTTGAGTGGTGTTGCATGGTGTTGAGTGGTGTTGAGTGGTGTTGCATGGTGTTGAGTGGTGTTGCATGGTGTTGAGTGGTGTTGAGTGGTGTTGAGTGGTGTTCCATGGTGTTGAGTGGTGTTCCATGGTGTTGAGTGGTGTTGCATGGTGTTGAGTGGTGTTCAGTGGTGTTGAGTGGTGTTGAGTGGTGTTGAGTGGTGTTGCATGGTGTTGAGTGGTGTTCCATGGTGTTGAGTGGTGTTGCATGGTGTTGAGTGGTGTTGCATGGTGTTGAGTGGTGTTGCATGGTGTTCCATGGTGTTGAGTGGTGTTGAGTGGTGTTCCATGGTGTTGAGTGGTGTTGCATGGTGTTGAGTGGTGTTCCATGGTGTTGCATGGTGTTGCAGGTGTTGTGTGTTGCATGGTGTTGAGTGGTGTTGCACGTGTGTGATGTGGTGAGTGTTGTTGTTTTTTTGGTGTTGCATGGTGTTGAGTGGTGTTGCATGGTGTTGAGTGGTGTTGCATGTGTTGAGTGGTGTTGCATGGGTGTTGGGGTTGCATGTTCCATGGTGTTGAGTGGTGTTGCATGGTGTTGAGTGGTGTTGCATGGTGTTGAGTGGTGTTGCATGGTGTTGAGTGGTGTTGCATGGTGTTGAGTGGTGTTGCATGGTGTTGAGTGGTGTTGCATGGTGTTGAGTGGTGTTCCATGGTGTTGAGTGGTGTTGCATGGTGTTGAGTGGTGTTGCATGGTGTTGAGTGGTGTTGCATGGTGTTGAGTGGTGTTGCATGGTGTTGAGTGGTGTTGCATGGTGTTGAGTGGTGTTGCATGGTGTTGAGTGGTGTTGAGTGGTGTTGCATGGTGTTGAGTGGTGTTGCATGGTGTTGAGTGGTGTTGCATGGTGTTGAGTGGTGTTGAGTGGTGTTGAGTGGTGTTGCATGGTGTTGAGTGGTGTTGCATGGTGTTGAGTGGTGTTGCACGGTGTTGAGTGGTGTTGCACGGTGTTGAGTGGTGTTGCACGGTGTTGAGTGGTGTTGCATGGTGTTGAGTGGTGTTGAGTGGTGTTGCACGGTGTTGACTGGTGTTGAGTGGTGTTGCACGGTGTTGAGTGGTGTTGCACGGTGTTGAGTGGTGTTGAGTGGTGTTGAGTGGTGTTGCACGGTGTTGAGTGGTGTTGAGTGGTGGTGCACGGTGTTGAGTGGTGTTGCACGGTGTTTAGTGGTGTTGCACGGTGTTGAGTGGTGTTGCACGGTGTTTAGTGGTGGTGTTTGAGTGGTGTTGCACGATTGTGTGTTGAGTGGTGTTGCACGGTGTTGAGTGTGTTGAGTGGTGTTGCACGGTGTTGAGTGGTGTTGCACGGTGTTGAGTGGTGTTGAGTGGTGTTGCATGGTGTTGAATTGTCACTGTTGAGTGATCAACACCGTCACTGTTGACAACGCCTCAATACGAGACCTTGTCTTGAGTATCCAACATAACTGTGATTACCTTCCTAATACACCTTAGATCACAATCAAAAGTGGTACAAAGACATGCGAACAGAAGCTGTTTCCTGAGCTGTTGAACAGATGTAACTGAACCACGCGGCACTGCTGTAGAGATGAACTAGAGGAGACATGATAACAACATACAAGTTACTAGGGATAATTGACCCAGTAGACAGCGAAAGCGATGGTCAAATCGAGGAACAGGTGAAATTTTTAAGTTTTAGAGTTTTAAATGCAAATTGAGATCATAAAAAAGGCGTA